GCCAGAGTGATGGGTGTTTGAAACATGAAATGCATGGAGAAACTCTGCAGGAATTGTCAAAGATTTCACCATCGTTACAATGGAAATCTCTACAAATTGTCCAAAACTCTTACGGCCAGGAGACTGTGAAAATGATTTATATAAAGTATGAAAATTGTTGAGAATATATTTGATGTTCTAAGGACAAGAGCGATGCAGTGCTGGACAACTGTTGCCCACTCTTCTTAAGTACATTCTCCTGGGTTTGTGATTTTCAAACAGTTCTCGGGAAAACCTTTCTACTATTTTGACAGTAAAGGGCCCTGCACAGGTTAACATAAACAAGTTGCTATCACCTCTGTTTTGTTGACGTAGATATGTGTGAAAACTCCTACATCCTAGCTTCACAATGTTGGAGCAGTAACAGGCTTTTAGTATTCGTTGGTAAAGAAATTACTTGAAGGACATTTTGACACCTACCCTGCATGATCTGCTGCGAGTGCTGTAATCATGATTTCTCTTGGGGGGGGTGATTCTAATGGCCACAGGACCACTGACAGGTCAGCCTCTCACAGTTTTTACAGTGTTGGGTTGGCAGATATAGGGGATGAATTTCACAGTCTGCATAATTCTATCAGATCCAAATACTCGTTAGTATATGTAAGTATAGTATGCTCATATATATATACTAACAAGTATTTGGATCTAATACGAATACTTACTAATATTCATTATATACTAATGAATATTAGTAGATATTTCATTACTTTAGATTGAATGTATTAGATTTTTTTTTTAAATGCCTCAAGGACCACTGCAATTTAAGATTAAGGATCATCGGATTTTGTAATTTGGAAAGTAAAGCATAAAAAGATCAGGTATGAAGCTACGGCAAGTCAGTCTGCATGAATGTTAAAACTTAAATTGTACATAATGATTGTATTTGGTTTTCTTAAGTATCTTATCACAGCTACATCACGTATTCAGAAATTGTTATTTCAGTGTACTGTTTTATGAATTTCAGGTTAATAAATATTTTACACCAAAGTGATCTGTCAATGGCTGGTGTGCCACCATGCGAAGTATTTGATAAAGTTATTTCAACTATGACGACAACAACAAAAAAGGAAACGTTGAAGTATCACACATATACCTGTTAGGAGGGGAACATTTAAAAACCAAAAACCCTTTCTATTGAGCTATTTTTAACTAATAGGATTTATCTCTGCTATTGCACAAAATCTAACATAAAATTGCTGTCGTCAAAAACACTACAGAACACAAAGCCTGAAGCTGGGCACAGTGAACGGAGACAGTTAAACTCCCCTTGACCTCCATGCATTAAGGTGCACAGCCTACGAAACCAACCTGCCGATGTCAATGCATGGACTTGAGAAGTTCCCCAAGCTGTTTTAGTTTAGCCTTCCTCCGATGCAGGTAGACCTGCGTCTCCCACAGCATCTTGAGGAGTGTCTTGTCCTTGTTCTCATCCAGAGGGATGTCGGCGCTCAGCGGGGGGCTGAAGCGGTAGAATGGGGCGCCAATCGTGTTGCACCAGGAGCGGGCGCGGTCCAAAGTGCGCCCTCGTGCATCGGTTACCTACAAAGAATGGCACCGTTGTTAGTTTAGAATTCAGAGGGCCATTTTTGAGTGAGTGATGAACTAACTGACAAATTCTCACAACCTCTGCAGAAACATTTCACACTGACATATAAAGCCAGTTCTGCAGACTTGCACGATGCCAACAGTAAATCAACACTTGCAAACGTTCCTAAACTTTAAAAGAATGAAATGGATCCAGCTACCCTAGCTTCTATCTTAGATTTAAGCTGTCATCCCCAAAACACTGAAAAACATTCAGAAACCTGAACACAGCATGTGAGGTTCCATATAAATCACCATGCTTCTGTGTTTGACAAGTTACAGCTCACAAACTGTTCCTAGTGCTCTTTTTGTCCCATTCTGTTGATAGATGAGCGTATTACTAAAGCTGGGCACTTTTCATGTGTTCTGCGAAAGAGTAACATGCATGGCTTTAACTTCGGCTCAACCAAATTTTCATTCTAAGAAACTTCCTACTATACCCATGAACTTGCATCTCCAGTCTCTCCGGTTCGTAAATGATTTTCAAGCTCCCATTGGAGGAACACTCAAGTTGTGTGTTAATTTCTGTTTCCATGGTCCAATGTACCCCTACATGCAGTGGGCATGGCGTCACACTTATGACCTGGGTACAGAGCACTTGTAGCAATCAATCAAAGCTGGACAAATATCCAACAATTAGGACATCAAACCAAGACGTTCCACTCACCAGATCAATGAATATTTCCCCGAGATTTGCTGCAGCTCGGGCGGCGTTTACCATGCCCAGCACACCGGACGGCTTGACGATGTGCATACTTCGCATGGGCTTGATTGGAACACAACCAGTTCCCACAGAGACTACGACTCCAACCTCACGTTTTGATTCACCCTGTGAAATTAAAGATGGACACAGTGATTTTTATCCTATCGGCAGGATACATGTAACTGAGAAATCATGCAAAATTTGGAGGATTCTGAGAAATTTCTTCTTCAGTCAACAATTATGCCCAAGTTAAAAGTTTTTGCATTTTCATGCGTCCATTTTGCATTATTTGTAAATTGAAATATTTCTTTCACAAAACCCATTTGTTCCAAAGCTAACATAAAAAAAACATAACGCAGCATGTAATGGAACTGTAAGGCTTGGGCATAAAATGCTCTTTTGTGCATGTACCTGTACACATGCATGGGACAAATAGAATCAAGTGGTCCTTACCCACCTCCTGCCGGGGATTCCGGATCCGGACATGTATGCTTTATATTCATGGTCGGGGTCTCCGAACTCGGACAAGGGGAACAGGGCCTTGTAACAAAAGACCGTACTTGGAACAAAAGACCACGCTGCTGGGCATTACCGACATTTTTTCACTCTAAAAAGTGGAGATAATCCAGCCTTGTTTTGAAACAGTATACCACGGTTTGAGGCATTTAGAGCGAGCGGATTACCACAGGAGACAAAAGCACTCCACCACCGCAGAGGTGAGCCACACAGCACAACTGCATGCTAATCTGGCCCCTATTGAAAAGACATCAGCAGCGCACTGAGCCAGGTTCGTGAACAAAAGAAAGTTATATAACAACGCACAATCTGGGCTCTTTTTACAAGGCTTCAGGCCTGGCTGAAATACTCAGGCATCAATAGATATTGTCTGTCAGGCGAGAGTGGACATCAGACAGTCCTTCACGTGTTTGTAAGTGTCCAGTAAATGAAGACAGAAATTTTTAAAGAATTTTGAAACCAGAAAAAAATGATAAATATCCCAGCCCAGCATCATCAACATTGATAACTGTCCCGGCAGGAAGTGGTTAAACCACTTCCTGCTGGGTGAAATTTGTATATGCGGGATGTGTTGAAGGGCGATTTTCAAGATTTTCCATTTTCAAAATTCTCCGACAATTCATAACTTCCTTTTTTACTGGATGTTTACAACCAAAGAAATGACCGTCTGGTGCCTACTCTAATCTGACAGGCAACCTCCATCGACACCCAAGTATTGCAGCCAGGTCTGCTGCCTTGTAAAGAGAGCCCAGATTGTGCAGTGTTGGGTTATTTCCTTTGTTCCCAAACTTGGCCGAGTGCTTTGCTGAATGGCAGTGGTGTCTTTTCAAATGCAGCCAGCGTGCAGCGATACTGTGTCGCTCATCGCTGGAGTGCTCGAGCACTGTTGATAATCCACAGCATCTGAATGCCGCAAACAGTGGTACACTGTTTCAAAACAATGATGGATTACCTCCGCTAATGACAACTGAAAAATGATGGCAATTCCTAGCAGCTTGGTCTTTAGTTCAGAATACGGTCTTACAAAGCCCAGCTGCTTTGTCCAATTTTGGGCACCCCAGCTGTACATATCTCAAGCCAACATCTCCGGTACCAGGCACCCCGGAGGCAAGTGGTTAATATCACCACTCACAAGCTTCGTTGACGTGATTCTACTGCAATAGGTCAATACCATACTGTTCCTGAATGGAGAATGTAATAGAATTTTGAAACCTCATAACTTGTGCAGCATTCAGTCAACACCTGCACACCAAGCATGCATATATGCATATTTAACCCCTGGACTTTTTTCTGAAACTGCAAATTCTCGGTTTGTGGCTCTGCGTGCTCTGCACGCTTTGATTTACACAGTGAAAAGGCTCATTTTTCGGTGGCATGCGGCTCTACTCAAGCTTCCACATTCCCGTTGCCTCTTTTCAAAGTGGGGACTATTGTGAAGCTGGTGATTATGATGCAAAATCGGCCTTTCCATTTCTTGGCAACACACAAAGGCCAATCACCATATATACAAGAGCCAAGGTCTGCCTTCTTTCACCGTGTTCGCTCGAGCATGGGCCGAGAATAATAGCTAAAAAGCAGGCTGAGGGATCTCAATTTTTACAGCGGCTCTTACCGCTTCCCGGTGAGAAGGGGTTAGCAGGCCAACGTACTTATGATGTCTCACTTTCCTATGGAGCCAGTAGGGGCCCACTACACTGCCAATCAACTCGACAAAAACGATTGAAATGCAATGATTATGACACCTTGAAACCTCCGTCCATGCTAGGATCGAGCCAAATGCATACCTTCATTTGCCTGTCCATGTAGTACTCTTGCAGCTCGGTCAACACATCCAGGGTGGGATTGTTTGCGATCAATCCGCCGTCCAGGAAACAGCCCATGGGTTGGAAGTAGGTTGGGGCTGCACCGCTGCCTCGAGCAGCTTTCCAAATCAATTGATCTGATAACGCAAATCGAGAAAATTTTAACACAAAGAAATAAGCAAATATTCAATAAACTACACCTAACAACAAAGACGACCCGAGTAACATTGCCTTTGGGAATTTCTTGGCACATATCAATGTTGCTGTGACAGGTTTCCAACCATTTTGACTCAGCAATAAAAAGAGAAAACATTTCAATACCTTTTTCCATTTCTACAACATTCAGCCTTCTCGGCCTGAGTCTACATGGCAAGCAATGCCCAAACCGAGCAGAGGATGCCACAGCGGACCCAAGGCGACGTAAAGAGGGATTCCAATGTCAACATAAAGAAACACCTCCAGAAAATCCACTGCTACATTCTGGTCCATTCCGCAGGGCTCTTATTTCAGCTGCCTTGCCGTTTGTTGCATTCAGCTCAGTTTATTGCATTCAACCATCCCCTGACAACAGACAGCGCATCTTGTCTGAAAAGTTGAGTGCCCTCAGGTTTCTTTTCAGAACCACACAAACTCGATAAAGAGGGACATCCTTGCATGGTGCAACCGCAAACTCTTTTTCTCAACTTAGCACTAAACTATGTGAGATTTTGAGGCACAAAGAGAACATCTGATGATGAAGCATTTTCAGACAAGTATGAGAAATGCTTCATTAACTTTTCACTGCCTCTGTCACTTTCGACTTGTCACCGAAAACCGATATCCTACAAACGGAATGGTCTAGCAGGGAGAATAGCCATCTTGGCCTATATTTCCTACAAGAATGGGACTACGAGAGTCTCACCGTGATACACAGGCGGCGAGACGAAGCTGTCTTCATTGTAGACAACATGTGCTGAGGATGAGCTAGCTGGCGGTCTATAGTTGCGGAAAATGTGGAGAGGGGGTGGCGTGCGGTCCCCAAGGGTAGTCATCACCAAAACCCTGCAGAAAAAGGTACAAGTATCAGACTATTTCAGCGTACAAGTAATGGGTATCTTACATGCACATGCAAGCAACATACTTCACGTTAGTATACTATTTTATCAGTTGGGTAATTCTTGATGACTACTTTTTGAACTAATGTAATGGGGCTGGTTGAATTGCAAGGTTCAAATATCAAGTATAGCAGTGAACAGCATGTATTAACCACTTCATACCGAGGTACCCAGTTTTGGGGACACAGGCTTTACACACGAAGCCGGAGCAAAAGATCTGGGCCTTGTAACAAAAGACAGTACTCGGAACAAAAGACTGCGCTGCTGGGAATTGCCAAAGTTTTTTCAGTTGTCAATAGTGGAGGAAATCCGTCATTGTTTTTAAAGGTTATAACACTGTTTGTGGCATTCAGCGTGAACGGATTACCACCGGGGACAAAAGCGCTTCAGTGATGAGTGATACAATACCGCGGCACGCTAATCTGCCCCTATTGAAAAGACGTTGGCAGTACTGTGCCAGTTTCGGGAACCAAAGAAAATTACGTAACACCACACAATCTGGGCTCTTTTTACAAGGCGGCAGGCCTGGTTGAAATACCCTGGCGTCAATAAATGTTGTCTGTCAGATTAGAGTAGCTGCCAGAAAGTCATTCGTGTAGGTGTAAACGTCCAGTAAATGAAGTGACAAATTTTTAAAGAATTTGGAAAACATAAAAAAATGAAAAGTCATGCGGCCTAGCAGAATCAACGTGGATATATGGGCCCGGCGCAAAGTGGTTAAACCAAGATTGCAGGCTTTCGTGATGGCACTGACTACAAGTAAACAAGTGCCAGACTAGAGCTAACAGTAGTTTTGGCTATAGCTGAGGCTTAGTGCCATATGCAAGCTCCTATGGTGAGCCGCAGCCAGAGATATTAAAAAATCTGCAATTTATAAACAAAAATCAGGGAATGTGCACTCTAATTTTGCTTTGTTCATTGATTTTCCTCTACATGTTTGTTCCTGCTAAAATATGTACATGAAAGCATACCTGCTGGTAATAGTACTCAAGTGTAAGGGAACATTTCAGAATTACAGAAGGCAGTATTTACTGCAGTACTGCCGTTTTTTTGAGGTACCAGCATTAAGCCCTTTTGGGTAACTAGTGTGGTGCTGCTAAAAAAACCAGCAGTACCGCAGTAAATACCGCCTTCAACAATTATGAAACACTCCCTAATGTTGCTTTCCCTAACCCACGTATTTTGTTGGTATAATTCTGTTTCGTCAATTTATGATTATTTTCCATGTTTGTTAATCTCTCCCCATCCTGCCTTTTAAGTGGTTTTTCCCTTATTGCAAGCGCATTCAGATTTTTTGTATCTTCTTTTAATTTTACCTTGTAATTTTATGATGTCCCTTTCAAATGAATGATACTGAATGAATAATCATAGAAAAAGGTCTTTAATGACAGCTCTGTGGACAAGACAAGCAAGTCTCTGTGTCTCTTTACTTGTGTTTGGTGATAGAATCCATTTTGGTGTCCGCTCCAAATATGTGCTTGAGGAAGTTCTCCAAGGGCTCCGAGGGGTAAGGCCGTGACCCGATGAATACGTCATTCTTCAGGCCAAAGTAGAGACTGCGTGCCTCCTTCGCAGAATAGCCTGACCACAACCAATATCAGCAACATAGCAGGAATTTTATGACCTGTCCTGTGGCATTAACTTTGCTGGAGAAACGTTTGCATGTGCTTACTGTTGTATAGCCTCAAATTAGCATGTTTTCAATGAAACCAAACACACACAACAAAAAGCAAGCACTCAAGAAAAACTGGACGAGAAAGAGAACGTATTAAGACCAGTCACAATACCCACAACCAAACATCAAATGCATAAAGCAGATGAAAACTCAGGCATGCAACTTTGACTTTGACAATAAACAAGGAAATTCCAATCCTTACAAGATTTTATACAGTGTTTTTAAATTTTCAATGGCACGGGTTGAAGTGAAAAACAAGGAATTAGCAGATCCAAGGAAAAGTTGCGTGCCTGAAAACTCCGTTCAAGGACAGGGGGTGCCAGGTAAAAAAAATGAGAGGCACCTACCGACTGCCAAAGTCAGGGCTAGAATGGGGGCACCTACCGACTGCCAAAGCCAGAGTTAGAATAGGGGCACCTACGGACTGCCAAAGTCAGGGCTAGAATGGGGGCACCTACCGACTGCCAAAGCCAGAGTTAGAATAGGGGCACCTACGGACTGCCAAAGCCAGGGCTAGAATAGGGGCACCTACCGACTGCCAAAGCCAGAGTTAGAATAGGGGCAC